GCTGGCTCGCCACAAGTTTGTCCGATTAGCCAAACGATACATAAGGACTAGGATGCTTTTAAAGGGTTTCTTCTTAAGGGCTTGTTCATAACTAAATTAGAAAAATAGTTCGAGGAAAGCTGTGACAGTCTTATGACATTAGGGAGCGAAGCTCGTAGTCATATACAGTAGTGCCAAGTAAAACATTTTTTAGGCACCTGACATGAAAATTAAAATAAATGTTAAATGAATGAAGCGTTTTTTTGACTTGTTATCCATGGTGCCTCAAAAAGATAATCCAACGCTTCTAGGGCAAAAAGTATATTCACAAATATCAAAAAGACTCCCTATAAACATACATATGTCCTGGAATATTATATTACCAAAATTTAACGAACTGACTTGATTTGAAATATCAGTTGTCCAAGAATTGCTATCAAGCAATGAAGTCTGAACGTTTTTACTTCCCACGCCTACTGGCGAGGAAGCATTGAAATCGCGAAGATTTTCAATACTAAAAAGCTTTGTAGTTTCTGCCCCTAATCCTATAACCATCTATAACTTGCTTGAATTTGGATGACACTTTTACACGATGTTACTACCTTGCCAAGGACGCAAAATCTATGAAAATAGGTCCAGTGGCAGCAGAGAAACAGGCCAAAAACGAAAAAGTATAAAAATCGCTGAACATTAGTTTTTTGACGTTTCAGAGGACCATGATCATTTTTGATAAAAAAGTTACAGGTAAAAAAGTTTTGGGGTGGGGATTGCAAGGACAGCTTATTGCTGCATCTGAAGATTTTTCCCAATAGAAGCCCAATTATAATGGTTCTGACAAGACCTAAGTTTTTTTTATGCTACTGTGTAAAGATGAAATTACATACAGGGAAAATTGTACTAGACGCCGTTTCGGAGGCGAGGAAAGTGTAGAGCAGCAGTGGCGAAGCGTCCATGTAACCATTGTTACCATTGGTAACAGCTAAAAATCTTTAAAATATAAATTAGTGTACTGTGAAGTAATTTCATTGATTTGTTTACCAACAGCAATATGTAATAGTAATACAGTAAATAGCAAGTTAGCCCCACGAAAATGATGCGCCCTATAATACTGTCTAGATTTTGAGAGCGCGATGAAGCCGACTCACCTCGACTTGGTTGGGCGTTGCCATTTTCGTTTATGGATAAACTTGATAGTCCGTCGGGGACCATCGCTGCCGGCTCGTGTCTGATCGCGGTCGCCCAACTGCTTAGGCCCGCCGCGATTATGTGGGCTTGTTACCATTTTTTGTTGTGGTTACTCACTGCTCACTCGTTAGTAATCGTTTTGGTTACCGGCCGTAGTGTACGTGCAATTAAACATGGATGAGTGTCCCTGGGTAATCGATTAACTACTTGAACAGTCATTATCCTTGTATAATTTTGAAGAACAAAAAGGGATCATTGAAAATGGAAGACCACCACCTATTTTAGATAATTTTAAAAAAGAATCAAAAAAAGTAGTTCGATATTTTAAATTCAGTTGGTATATTGAAAACTCTTGGTTTTGTGGTTGCAAGAAAAACAGATTGTATTATTGGCCATGTCTTCAGTTTTCTACAGAAAAGAATGGGTAGACCGATTCAATTAGTTTTAGGGTTCTGAAGAGGAGACATGAAATTTCTCCTTTACATGTGAGATGTGTTGCCAATTTGTTTCAGTTTGGCAAGACAAGTATCGAAAGTTGTTTTAACCAAACTTTTAGGCAGCTCACGTATAGATGCTGTATGTTTTTTGGCCAAACAAGAATTACCATTTGACAATAGAGGAAATTACTGGGAATTGTTAACATTAATTGCCAAAAAAGATTAAAAAAAATTCCGAACATCTAGAAACGTCTACTGTTTTTCGGAAGGCTTGGAATTTTTAAAAAGTTTAAATACAATACCTAAAATAAGCAAAAACGTATCTGAAATGGCCAAAATAAACTTTTTTTAATAAGATTTTTCACATCTGGTTTTGGTAACAGTTTAGGGAAAGTCACGCGACGCCACTGTAGAGCAGTGATTCCCAATGCGGTCCGGGTAGACCCGCAGGGTGTTCACAAGAGAATTAAAGGAGGCCATACGCTGGCGTGAATCTAAAATGTGGGTTCCCAAGTTGCAAGGGGAGGTTGACGAAAAGATATTTCGTTAAGAAAGCCAGCGACTATCCATAAAAACTTGTGTATTTGATAGCTGGTACAAGTTTCCAAACTTGATATTTACACATTTAAATCTCTTGCATGATGACTTCAAGAACGGACTTGACGATATTCTGGTGATGGGAATACCATCACGGATCATGAACGTATTTGATGAAGTGGAAATGACATATGTGATATTACAAGACGAGCTACTTTATCTTGTCGTAGGCAGCAGGTAGAAATGCCCGAAACATATTCTGGGCTCTGGAAAATTGCGAGAAAATGTTCGTTATTGTGTCGCTCCTCGTACCTTTTAGAAAACCATTTTAGTGTTGTATTAACAGAAAAAAAGAGCGGAGTGAATACTGCGTTTATTCCTTACAAAACTGAACCCGCATTCATAATTCAAGTGCATCCTGCCATCAACATTCTGATCCGTTGTACCATTTTTCAACTGTTGATTTGTGTTGCAAAAGAAGTTACGCATAACGTTATAAATGTTTTACTATATCCCTAAAAAATTTTTAATCAGGTATTTTGCTAAATAGGATAAAGGAAAATAGTTCTGTTCCACTTTTGCCACCATGGAAATTTGCGTCATTAGATCTAATCTTCACGGTTATGCTAGAAACGTAACAGGGCAAGCAATATTTTTTAACGGTTTATGAGAAAAACGTTCGGTAACCACTGGTGTATAATCAATTTACCTGACGGCATTTTATCCATATATTTCACGACGATGTCGGTTATTACTTCAACACTCCCTGGATTCCTAGGATGATACGGAATATCTGTGCTTATTAGAATTGTTTGTACATGTGTAGGTGGTGATCCAACGACGGCGAAAGCAATAGCGCTCCAGGAAAAAAATAACTCTGGAAAAATGTTCAACTCCTTTTACCAGAGTGTTTTGAAACTATGGGATCAAAGTTCTAGGGGTTATTCAGTATAACATTAGAAAACATTTGAGTATAGGGATCGGCGCTTGTGTGTTGTTATCTTTAAAAACGCTAACAGATATTGTTTTATGTAGTTGCACTCCATATGGCCTTAGTCGTGCTATCGTATTTGTGAAGTTTGCAAGAATTTAACAAAGATTAATTGTTGCTAATGCAAAACTTTACCAATCAAGAATTGGCGGATATGCATTTGGCATACGGACAACAAGCTGCAATGCACGAGCAGCAGCGCGGTTGTATCAAGAACGTTATCCCGAACAAGAGCATCCGGGATACAAAAAGTTTTTTGCTATTCATCGGCGGCTCTCCGAGACAATCATGTTTAAAACCAACATGCATGATACTGGTGTTGCTCGAACCGTAAGAACGGTCGAATTTGAATAAGAGGTCCTTCAGAGAGTTGCTGACGAACCATCAAGTAGCACACATCACATTGCTGAGGATATGAATATGAGTAAAGCTTCCATCTGGTGGGTGCTACATGAGCAACAACTTTATCCTTACCACTTCCGGAAAGTTCAAGGATTGAATGCAAATTTTTTACGCTATGTTTTATGGACCGATGAAGCATCTTTCCCAAGAAACGATATTTTTAATAGTAGGAATAGCCATGTTTGAGACAAAGAAAATCCCCATGCAATTTTTCCTAGAAAACATCAGCAAAGTTGGTCTGTCAACGTATGGGCTGGCATTGTTGATGATTATTTGATTGGGCGATACCTTCTACCGGAACGGTTGACAGGACCTATTTACCGGCGTTTCTTGGAGGAAGTTCTTCCAGAACTTCTTGAAAATGTTCGACAGCAAATGTGGTTTCAGCATCATGAAGCGCCGGCTCATTTTGCTGTACAAGTACGTGAGTATTTGGCTGAGGGGTTTGGGCACCATTGGATTGCCAGTGGTGGAGCAGTTTCTTGGCCTCCTAGGTCACCCGATTTAACGTCGCTAGATTTTTTCCTGTGGGGACATGTAAAGTCTTTGGTTTACGAAACTCCAGTAGAAACAGACCAAGACTTAATTGGACGAATTACAGCGAATTGAATCGGTGTATTCAGGTTGGAGGAAGACAATTTGAACAATTGTTGTGATGATGTCATGTACAAAAGGCAAAAATTGAATGCATTAAATCCTATTTAAGCAGTTCATCCTCTTTCTAAATTTTAACGCGTCTTAGGGCCTAGTGCCGTAGTGACACTTTTCCGGATATGGATCCCTATACTCAAATGTTTTCTACTGAATAACCACTAGAAGTTTGATCCCTTAGTTCTGAAACACCCTGTAGATATACAGCAATAGGTACAGGAACTGTAGGCACAAAGCTGGTAAATGGTCATCTCGTTTACCGTTGGGGACAATCCCCTACCTGTGGTTAGTTTGTCGCCAGCAGTTGCCTAATTGATTTATAGGTTCAAACAACCTTAGACCTCCACTGTATCAATCAATTAAGAATCCCGAAGGATGCTCTGACCAGCTGTCCATATCGTGTGAGTAATGGAAATAACATCCGATCGGCTACAAGTTCTATTTTCACCGCCGGTGTCTGATTTTCGTTAGCATTATTGATTTCGGTTAGTTATTCTGGGGCATGAGTTTGGTAGTATACGGTAGCTTTTTCACGATATACTGGAAAGAACATGAATTCAATTTTTTAACCTACAGTTGACCTTGTTTACATATGTCAACGACTAGCTTTCTGTTCTTCAGGACGCTACTAAGATGTCAGCATATACGAGGGATGTCTTTTAAGCTTGGCATATAGAAACATAGTAGGCCGCGCGGATCGAACGTCAGTACTGAATCTTAACCTCACTCTTTAGTAAACTTAAATTCAAAGTTTCGCAACAATACGTGCAGTGTTCTCACTACAGTGAATTTTTAAGTGTCACCAAGTCATTAGAAAAATGGAACTTAACCGAGAACATTTTCGCGCCATAATTTATTACAACTTTCAGAGACAATTATCCCAACAAGGATGCCTTGCTGAGTTACTGTCTGTTTTCGACAACGAAGCGCCACATCAGTCGACAATTTCCCGTTGGTATGGAGAATTCAAACGTGGACGGGTGAGTCTTAGCGACGATCCCAGGGTGGGTGCACCAAAAACGGCAGTCACCCAGGAAAACGTCGATGCTGTGCGCAAACTCATCATTGAAGATAGACATATGACATATCACGAGATTCAGGCGTCCTTGAAGATCTCAAAGACCTCAATTCAAAAAAGTTTACAGGAAGAATTAGGAGTAAGAAAATTAGTTTCTCGTTGGATACCCCACCTGTTGACTGAAGAGCAGAAAGCAGCCAGGGTTAATTGGTGTCAAAAAACGCTTGACCGTTTCAATTCCGGAAACTCAAAAAATGTGCACAGCATTGTTAGTGGTGATGAATCGTGGATTTACTGTTATGAACCAGAATAAACGACTGTTGGCTGTTTGGGCGCACCAAGGTGAAGAAAAGCCAATAAAAGTCATCCGTTCTTGAAGTGTTTCGAAAAAGATGGTCGCGAGATTTGTGTCAAAAGCGGGTCATATTGCAACAATTCCACTTAATGAGCAAAGAACTGTTACTGCGGATTTTTTGCCAAAAGTCATCACCGAGCTTCGAAAAATCAACCCCGAAAGAAGAATCATCCTCCACCAAGACAGTGCAAGCTCGCACACAGCCCAAAAAACAAGGCAGTATTTAACGGAAGAAAACGTGGAATTATTGGACCATCCTCCATATAGTCCCGATCTAAGTCCTAACGATTTCTTTACTTTCCCGAAAATTAAAAACAGACTGCGTGGTCAAAGGTTCCAGTCACCAGAAGAAGCGGTTGACGCATTCAAAAATGCCGTTTTGGATCTGCCAGCATACGAATGGAATAAGTGCTTCGAAAATTGGTTCGAGCGCATGCAGATGTGTATTAGTCTTCGTGGAGAATACTTCGAAAAACAATAAAGTCATTTAAAACTAACTACCGTGTTGTTTTATTCCCATATGCAAAACTTAAAAGACATGCCTCGTACATCGCTCTTCAACCTAGCCCCCCCACAGCTCCCTAATTGGGGCGACGTTGCCAGACAGACTACCGCTAGGGCAGGGAAAGGGTGGACTAATTATGTGGGTCTACTTGACTAACTCGATCCGTTTAATTCCTCTGTTATAGAAGTTCGTTAGTAACTTTTTTCTCAGTCAACCTACTTGACGCCATTTATCCATTTTTTTCATTAGTTGTTCGTGTCATTCCTAATTTCGCAGCGCTTTGGTTGTAATTTATCGCCCTATTTTCCAAAAATTGTTCAAAAATAAATTGGAGAGAGTGATATTTCGAAAAAGCATTGTATTAGCGTGAGTAGAGATTGCATGTACAATTTTACAATGAAATTCAATCGAGCACGGTAGAGTACCTAGAAACGACATATTATCTAGTTCTTATTATCCAAATTTACGATGATGCATTTCTTCGGGTCTTTCTCAACTTATCTTGGATATCAAATCGGGTATTACTACTTCGCCGTATTCAAGCCTCCATCTCAGATGGTTGTTCAACAGAAAAAACAACTTTGAGCTTGACGTGCTAAAGCGACAAAAAACAAAACATGGAAACAACTATAAAGTGTCAACCTAGTTTTTAGTGCCAAAGTATAACTTATATTTATTTTTGGTTATGCTTTGAAAAATGGTGAAGTGACATCAGCAAAGTCGTTTATTCAACACCCTTTGTTTTCAGCTATCAGCGAGGGACACTCCCAGCATTAAGTAAAATGTTTCACGGCATAGCTCCTGGTTGAGTTTTTCTGAACGGACAGTCAGTCGGAGGTTTCAGATGTCATAGCGGCCCTCCGACTCTCACGTAGAAATTTTAACCAGGAGGATAATTTTTATCACGCTCTCTTCGTTTCATGTTTCCACGAGTTTGCTCATGATGGCTATCTTCTCAAAAGGATTCAAAATATAGAATGAAAATGTTATGGTCTATCTTGGGCATATGCGCGAGGCTACTATGGATTTTTGCTCTAACTGTAATAAAAACACTTTCTTACACAGCAAATTGCAAATATACTGTCTAAATATAATGAATTATTTATATATTTACCTGAATCAGGTGAATTAGCAATTCGAACAACGTATCTCATTTTTGGGATACTCCCTTTCAGATTCCAGAGCGAAAGCTGGCATTTGCACAAGATAACCATTAATCCCTATTATCCACTATAGCTTCAGGGTGCGAATAGCAATACATTCACTGTTCACCCCTCACACCATGAACTTCCTGTGATGTCATGCTATAAGTGATTCCATTACCAATGAAATCCGTTCGTGAATGGTCTGTCGGTATTGGCAAAATGCTACATACAAATGGTGAAATCTCAATAAGTATTTGAAAGAAGTATATTATTACGTAGACATGGTGAGAGAGTAGACGTGCTGTGTGTCGCTCTGCAGAAAATCTGAAAAACCTCCAGTAATAAGTGGAATTAAATAATTTGGTTCTTCTGCTCTGAAAGGTTAGTGGACACTAAATCAATATGCCATTGACACGAGATCAAATGGCCGATGTTAAATTAATTATAAAGCAAACCATTGAAGAATTGCTCAGTGATAATAAATTCTTAACGCTTATTTCTGATAAAATCGAACAGAAACTGGGTATAAAGGAATCTCAACAAAAAATGGTCGAGCTAGAAAAACAAATAGTGGACCTGAGACATGCTAAGAATAAGCTAGAGTGTGATTTGGAAAAATTTCAACAACATGCACGTCGGAAATCTTTTAGAATAGTTGGCATGAAGGAATCACATGGTATAAGTATCCTGGAGCAGGTGCTTACCTTATGCGAAGATAACCTAAAAACTCGAGTTTTGGAAGAGAATATTGAAAATTGTTTTTGGTTAGGAAGAAATAAGAACGAACAGCGTTCTGTCTTGTTTACTGTAAATTCTCATAACCTGAAAATGAAGCTTCTGAGAAACAGGAAGTTACTGAAAGGTTCAGGAATAACTCTTACTGAAGATATGTCGCCTGCTCGATATAACCTGTATCAAAAGGCCGTGCAGAAATGGGGTAAGCAGAAGACCTGGTTTTATAACGGAGAAATATGGGTGAAACTGCGAGAAAACAAGTTACAGATAAAAAACGAAGAGGACTTGAATAACATGGCGCAGTAATGATCCCATGTACTGTTCAGGTTGCTGCAGAGTGGACGTGAGCTTTTCATTTTGGTTTTAGTGCTTTTTTTCTTTTCTTTTTTTCTCCTTCCTTTTCTGCGAGTTGTAATTTGTTACATAACTGAGCCATTGTTTAGTTGTAGCAGTTTAGTTAGTTTCAGTTTTTTCTGCATTCATATTGAGTTTAGCTTGATTTGTATATGACTGATATTGATACAGCTTTGAATATTTTAGAGGATTATAACAATATCACGACCATCAGTTGCTCTAATTTTGATGAATTAAATAGTGTTCTGTTTGAGAGAAGTGATAAGTTAAACTTCACTATACTTCATTACAATATCAGCAGCTTGCAAGCTCACTATGATGAGCTTTGTATAAACATAGCGGTGTTAAATAAGAATAAAAATATAGGTATAATTGTTTTGAGTGAGACCTGGAATATCAGTAATATCGACAGTTATAAAATAAATGGCTTCCAAATTTACTATAATGAAGCCAAGTATAATAAATGCGATGGGGTTTGTATGTATGTAAGAGATGACATTTCGGCAAATGTTTCCATAAAAATGATAGATGTAGTGACGGCATTGAATTGTAGCTTTATTTTCAACAATAACAGTTTCAGTATTACTGGTATCTACAGGCCTAATCCCACGAATGTACAGGATTTTGTAAACAATTTGGATTCGTATTTGAGAAATACTGCAAACTGTGACATTTCGTTGTTGGTGGGTGATATAAATATAGACTTATTGAGAGAACATGAATACAGTAATTTAAGTTACGTGAATATGTTGCAACAGAACGGGTACATATCTCAGATTAATACACCTACTAGGGTAGATTCTAACTCATCTACGATTATCGACCACATATTTTTGAAGGCAAACAGATTTAAGGTCTCTGAAACAGCAATTGAGTGTAAACCAATACTTTTGGAAAATTGTATGACCGATCATTATCCTGTTTTGTTCAATTTTGGGTAATTATATCTCACGTCCATTCCGAAGATGTATTTAACTAAGGTAGTACGCTCATGCGTACTGCGCGCCACACATTTTTAAGATGAATAGTAGCGCGAGCGCGGATATGTTCTTCCCGCTCGCCGCCGTCCGCTGTAACTGCCTCCCCGTTTCATTCGCTTTTATGTGTGCGTCGCGTCCACACGTGTAGTTTCAGTGCCCGGCTCCGCAACAGACGAAAAACCAATAGTACAGGTATGATAGTATTATTTTGCTATTCACGACATTCATAGAATGTTCTGTTACATCAGGATAATACGAAATAATGATAATTTTATTGGCACAGTCCCAGATTTTTCTTTTGCATTTTCTCAATTTCACGAACAAGGCTTCCTAGTTTATTTGCTGTGCATTTAATGTTAATTCGAGAAAGTGAACTATTATATACTAATCACGTTAAAATCGTTCTGGTGAGCAACTATTTCTCCACAGGGCTTGTTTTACAGCATGGGGAAACGCAAGAGAAGCCGATCCAGCGACAAACTATCGCGTAGAGACTTACAAAAAACAATTAATGAGCTTCGCGATAGACTAAACAGGCAGGAGCGAGATCGTAGGTCCCATTCACGTCGGCACAGTCGAAGCATTTCTCCGAGGAGGCCCCGCTCTATTTCGCGCAGTCGATCCTTAGTACAGGACCGTACTTCGATAAAAAGAAGGGGGGTGCCAGATTCGGAGGATCGTAACCACAATTATACGACTCGGAAACGTCGAACTTTGGACAAACCGACTTCCGAATATCAATACTCTAGGAATTCATCGAGAGAACGTCGGGTTTCGCACAGCCCAACTTCCAATCGATACCAAAATCCTAGAAATACATCGAGAGAGCGTCGGGTTTTGAACAGCCCGACTTCTTCACGATTTTCAAAAGAAAAAATAGACCGACGTAGCATGAGCCGAGCCTCGTACGACTCGGCGAGTGTCACCAGTGGTAGAAGCCCGGCATCGAACTGTCCGGCTATAAACCAAGACCATCCGGAACTGGATGACCTAGATACACTCGTACTCCAAGACGACATAAATTTACAAGCTGAAAACACTGAGAATGAGGCGGAGCAACTTCCAGAGTGCATTAAAGAGGTATTAGGCATTGACACTGACACAGAAACAAAACAGTCCTATCATCTCAATGATGCTATAAGACAAGTTTGGTCACAAACAATAGCCCAAGGCATAGGAAAGGAAAATATGGATCAAATTTTGGATCGCCATAGGCCTCCCAATAATTTTCCTACTCTTGATCCTCCAAAAGTCAACCCGGAAGTTGCTCACATTCTTTCTCAAGCATATGTTAAGAGGGACCAATGCCATGCAAGATATCAGCTATTGGTGGGAAAAAGTACAAGTGCGCTTGGCAAATGCATGAATTATGTCATCAATGAAATCAAGAATAATGTTGATTCTGATCTAAAAATGCACTTGCTACCACATCTAGCAGATGTGGGCACATTCATGACCCAGCTATTCCATGAGATCTCGACGACCCGTAGGGAATATATTTCACAACTTCTCTCCAAATCGGTGAAAGATACCATCAAAGAGACTATTCCGGGGGAATATCTATACGGCACCGATTTGGCAGAAAAGATTAAAATGGCAAAAATTGCAGAAAAAGCTGGGAACGACTTAAGACAAGACGGTTATAGCAACAAGGCAGGGCCATCCGGCATCAGAAGAGGGGGGGGGCACACCTCTCAGCGCCAGCATGGTACCTCCAAAACTGCATACAATGCTCGTACTCCATATAAAGCGACTAGCTACC